CCCGGCGGCGCTGCCGGGCGGGGGACGAGCTGCACCAGCTCTGGGCTTCGGCAAGAGCGCGGGTTTTGTTGGCCAACGTGGGTAAAGTGCAAATAGAGCTCCCGGCCACGCTCGTCCCCGCTCCCCGAAGCATCGCGCGTCTCCACACCGGTTCATCGTCCCACCGCCCGCACCGGCCCCCCACACCGCCGGCAGCGGGGCACCCGGTCCCGGGCGTCGCGGTGCACCCAAGCCAAGCCAGAAACCGAGAGCTGGGCCAGTTGTGAGGCAGAAACCACCCCTCAGTGATTTTCTTTTTCCCCTCAGTGATTTTCTTTTTCCCCTCAGGGCAGGGAGCAGTGGAACAGGCAAAGTGCCGGACAGGTTTGTTATCAGGATGCAAAAAAACTGCTTCAAGTATCAAAGAAAACACAAAACAAACGGCCAAAATTTGGGTTATCCTCTCCCCCCTCCCCTCTTCCCACTGGAAATACAAAACAAAGAAGAAAACCCTGAGCAAAGCGCTGTCTGGATTCAGGAACCAAAGCGGGGAAGGAAAGAAGAACACAGCCAGCAGCCTTCAGAAGTGACTCAGTGCACCTCGTGCTGGTTCGAGTCCCAAACTATTAAAAAAATGAGCTGCAAATGTCATCAAAGCCGGCCCTTCAGTCACAGTAAAAATCATAATTAGAAAAGAAAAAGAAAAAAGCCAGACTTGGCTTTCCCGTCGCTGCCCCCATCCCTCGAGGGCACCTCGGCCTCAGCATCCCCACGGGCACCCGGTGTCCCCCCATCTGGCAGCACTCAGGGCCCCGAGGGAGCCAGATCCGCAGGGATTTGGGATTTCCAAGGGGAGCCCAGGCAGTGAGGAGGGGGTGAGCTGGTACCCGCTGTTCTGCCAGGCTCTAGGGACACCCGCGGGTCCCATCCCAGTGACCACACCACCACGCTGGGGTCACCGAAGCCGACACAGCCTGGGGACATCAGCTTTCAACAAAAAACCCCAACAAATAACTCAGGTGGGGCTTTTCCCCAGAAGGGCTTGTCTGGAGGATGAGCAAGAGGCGAAACGCTTCCTCCTCCTAAAACCTCTTCACAGACGGGCACAAAGATAAGGTGTTGGGTTTGTTTAAAACCTTTCTGCATCCAATACACTCCAAATTATTGGGAAGTGAGGCCCCGGCGTGCAGAGCCAAGGGGAGGGGGTGTGGGTGAGCCCCACACGCTGCTGGCTGCACCGCGCTCAGCCTCCGCTGTGGATACTGCTGGGAGCTGACACCAAGAGCTCCCATCTCTGTGCCCTGTGGAGCAAGAACAACCTGATCCCCATGCTCAGATCCCTCTCCAAAGCCCTTTGCAGGTGGCCGAGGGGGGATAATCCCCCCGACTGAAGGTGGCCCCTGCACTCGGTCCACTTGCCAGCTTGCCCTGTTGCCCTGAGGCGATGGGGTGTCGCGAGCCCGTTCACCCAAGAAGCAGGTGACGTGAAGGTGCCAGGAAGGAGAAGCAAATGAAAAGGAGTCACTGGGAGAGAGGGAGAGAGAAACCAAACCCAAAACCCAGCCGGCTTGGGCAAAACACCGACAACAACCACTACACCGGCCAGGGTCTCCACCTGCACCCCACGCAGTCCCCCCGACACATGCAAGCCTGAACTCCTGCAGAACCAGCCCTGCTCCAGGGAAATGGATAAAACTCCCCGAGACAATGGCCCCGAGCCCCTGTCAGCCTCCCCGAGCCAACGGCACCGCAACACCCTGCACCGCAGCACCCACGGCACCCTGCAGCACCCACGGCAAGGGGCTCCCTCCGACACCAGAAGCCTTTAACGATTTCCCCCACCCTGTCCCACTTGGCTAGAGCCCTTCTGCTAGAGACAAACATGGCCAGTCACAGCACCTCTACCCTAACACACCTTGCTTTCCTGTTAAGTGACAGTAAAACTTTCTGTAGAGGACAAGGTTAATGATGGCTTTACTTCTGAGCTGAGTAATGGATGGGGTGGTGATGACAGGGGTGGTGGTGGTTGGGGGGGGTTGGCTAGCTTTTCTCCTCCCCTTCTTAAAATTAAAAAAAAAAAAAAAAAAAAAGGAAAAAAAGAAGAAAAAGCTACAATCTTATAGACTAACCTCAGGAATATCAAAAAAGGAGCCCAATTTTTTTTTTCAGTAGGTCGCCACAGACCTAGCCGTTTACAGTATAACGAATGCGATTATTTCCTTCATAAATTTTAAATACAAGCAGAATAAAAATCACATTTTTTTCAGGCAACAGTAGCAGTTCAGTAGGTAAGTGGCTTGATCACATTTTTTGTTTTGTATTAGTAATGCATGCAAGCAGCTTTAGTATTACAGATCCCTTATAGGTCACGAAACATTTGCTCTCTTTATAAAGTCCCTCCGTAAGTACCATCTTGTCTTCTCACAGGAGTTTCAGGCCGGCTGGAGGAGCCCGAACCTTGTTCAAAAGGTTGCGGAGTGCTTTGGGTATCCGATGCCATTGCATCTGTGGCAGCTGCCTCCTGTATGACAGAGCCAGCCCCTTCGGCATCCTCGCTCTGTTCGAAGGACTGGTTGGATCCGTTGCTTAGCTCTACGTTCACTGTGTTAGTTCTCAAGGCTACTATAGTTCCTGAATCGCTCCTCCTTTCTGCATAGATTCGCTGCTCAAAGACCTGAGCAGTGTTGGGCTGGAATTCAGGATCCAGGGGGACACTGTTTGTGGTGGAGCCCATGACCGTGCGATACATCTCCATCCCTTCCGGCAGCATGGATTTAATCTTCGGCAGCCAGCGCTTGCGGACGCGGCGGGCGTTGGTGCACATATCGGCTGCTATAACATTCATCTCGCTTTCCTTAAAGCTCGGGGCAAAATTCTGACAATACACTGCAAAGACAGGGATACACAGAGCTGAGGATTCAGAGAAAGCAAAACAAAGGCACGATCACAGCCTCTGCCACGTCTTAGAGACCTGCTGCGAGGCTTGGCACGGGCAGATGCCACGGGGTGGAGGTTCATCCATGAGCCAGAGCTCTTGCAAGGAAAGACTTACAGACAAGGACTCCTCAGCTTGAGATAGATACAACCGAGAAGAGATAAAACCAGAAGACATAAAAATCCCAGGTGGCAAAGGGAAGGGGGCTGGAAAAGGACCTCTCGCTCCCTGGGGACTCAGAGAGCCCCAGAGGCACCAGCCTCTAGCTGGAGCATGGCACCCATGGCTGCAGCAGGCTGGGATGGCCAAAAGCAGAGATGGGCACAGAAAAGGTCAACAGGAGCTCCTCAACAGAAGATCCATCAATGGCTCTTAAAACCATGGTGGTGCAGGCACAGCTGCAGGGCTGGAAAATGTCAGAGCTGCTCTTGGCTGAGCAGAGGAGAGCACCCAAAGGACTGTCCTCTGCCTGTCCTATGCTTCACGCCAGCGACTGCAGGGTCAACCAGTGCTGCTTGGACCTCCAGCCCAACCAGGGTGGCTGCTCCAACATCCCACCACCAGCACAGGAGCTGGCATGCACCCTGCAGAAACACAGCAAAACCTCGGCTGCAGCCCGGCTCCTCCATGGGGACAAAACACCTGATCTTATGGAGCAACATCATCACACTGCCATGGTGGAACTACCAACCAAACCTTGTGCAAAGGATATTTCTATCTGTAAAATCCAAGCAGTAAGAAGTCATCTTATGCCCTGACACATGACAACGTGCCATAGGCACTGTCACTGGACAGTGGTGCCTTGTCAACCTCTGAACCTGTTTGCAAGTCTCAGCAAGGCCCAAGGCTGGAAGGTCCAGACCCAGGGTTCTCCAGGGTGATGCTGCTAACAGGGAGGCTGTCTCAGGAGACCACCACGCACAAGCTACAGGCAAGCACCAACAGCACAGTTTAGGGATTTTGTCTTTCTGTATTGAGCATTTGCCACCTTATCCCTTTTCTCCACAAGCTGCAGATCTCAGAGGGTGGCTGGAAGGTGCAGCAGCACAGCAACAATTAAGGAGAGGAAAGATTTACTTTCCAAATCTTAAAAATAAAAATAATGAATCAAAAAATTATTGAGAGTTTCATTTTCCAGTGCAATAATATTTACATCAAGATTTATAATCCAGAATCCAGCGAGGGTGAGAGAAGACATTGCTTTCCATGGGGTACCAAGGTAAGGGGGCTTCGCTGCACTAACCCATCAGGGTTCCCTACAGCACCCAGGTCCTCACTCCCCAGCAGGCACCTTTCATCCCACAGCTCCCTGGATTCAAGGGTGACTGCAAGAGCCAAATACTCAACCATTTCTTTCTGGTGCCAGCCATAAATAATGAAACTACCTTGATGGAAGTAACAAACTCCTCCTTTTCTTGTATAAACACCAAGTTTTAGGCACAAATATGCACATCTCAGCCCTGGCTAAAGTTAGGGTGCTGTGTAATCATGCAAACACGGGGGGTCTTACCTGCAGGAGAGGAGAAGGGGTGTTAAACAGCTGAACCTTTTGAGGCAGAGCTCAGGGGCTCTGCAGAAAGACAGACCGACTAGCCGAGCCGTGTGACACAATGCAGAACTGTTTGCAGTTTGAACATTAAAAACAAGAGCTCCTGTTGCTTTGTGCAATCTTTTAAAAAAGTAATTATTTGCAGCAGGGCTCCCACTTTACATATTAAAAAAAGAAAGAAAAAGAAAAAGTAGTTTATAAAATATATTCAAGGAAAGAGACTGTAAACCTGACAGAAAGGCTGCCAGCGAGATGGAGAGCAGATCCTCCCGTGCTGCCAGGGATGGATTCCCTGATTCCTGGGGATCCATTTACTGCTGAAGACCAACAGCCCCAAAGCTCCAGGCACCACAAAGCGCGGCTGCTCTCGGGCACCGCCACGGCACAGGCATGGTGGGACCGTGATGGAGCAGAGCTGTACGCTCTGCTGCTGTGAACCAGGGATCTGGTAGAGCCCTGCACTGGGATGCATCCGAATGTGAGCAGGAGCCTGGACACGTAAAAGCCAGCACACAGAGATGTGTGTTTCAGCAGCATCATGTTCTGAATGTTGCCAGAACCATAATTTTGCTTTCTTTCTTAGAGTACCTATCGATAAAATAATTAACTGTGAAATTAGAGCTTTGAAATATAGTCAAGTAGCAATAATGTTTTATATTAAGATACTGCCAAACAAAAAAATTCACTTCAGCCTCCTAAAAAATGATGAAAAAAAAAAAAAAAAATTTTTTCCTATAGCCTAACTTCACCATATATAGTTCCCGTATTAGGCAACAGAGACGGCTTTCCCGGCTTAGGTTTCGACTTTGCTCTCGGCATGCTGTTCCAACAGAGCAGCAGTAAATCTCTCTCCTTACATTTGACTGCGTTAAGAACCCTGCTGTCCAGGGGCTTCCTGCTGGGATCGCTGGTGGAGGACCGGATTCCAGTTCCACAGCTGTTGGCAAGTGTATTCCTGCAAGAAAGGCAAAGGAAGAACCTTACCCTGGGGACTCCAGGGGACAGCCGCTACCTCGTCCCCTTCCCTTTTGGTTCTTAGTGAGGGATCATCAGGTTACACGACTTTAATCATAGACTGGTTTGGGTTGGAAAGGACCTTAAAGTTATCATCTAGTTCCAACCCCCATTTTAAGGCAAGGTATTGGAAAAGCTGGTGCTCAGGTTCAAGCATCATTGAGAAGAAGCAGAGAAATCAGCGCAGCGTATACAGAGGATGAAGCACTCATGACACATTATCTATTAACGTGGTTAGAACATGATAAAATAAACTGAATCCCTCGGGAGAGCACAGAGAGCACGTACCGATCAAAGAAGGTGGCCAGAAGACGTCTCAGAAGGACCTTGTGTTTGACACCGGCGCATAAGTGGCAATTCATCAGCTGTCCCCGGGTGATGTAAACACCTGAGCCTGGAAGGGTTGGAGAGGGAGAATTCAGAGTTAAACCCTTGCCTTGCTGACAGCACCGCCTCCGAGCCACCAACCAACTGCTCCTCCATCCCGATGGTGGTGTGATGCAGGAGGGAGCATCTTCACCTGCTGCTTCAAAAGCCCAACAAGGACAGGAGGATTTTTGGAAAAGCCTGGCAGGGACTGTTATGGCAGTCCCTTGGGGTCTTGGCAAGCCCCAGGTAATAATAATTCCTAATTTTATCTGTGCGGAGAAGAAGCCTACAGAAATAAAATGGAGTCTTTTTTTTCTTGGAAATACACACAGTGCAAGGCTGTATATTGTGATTTTAGATGTACAGATCAGACTACTTATTCTTTCTGAAGGAAGAAAACCTCAATCCATTTGGCCTTTTATTTTCTCAAGTGAAAGATCGTAGAACGCACAACTCGAAAGAAAGGAAAAAACCCCGTCTAGCGCAGCAGAATTACTTGGTTACACTACAGATCTGCTTCCATAAACCCCAGCCCATCACTGCTTGGTACTTCTGGTGAGCAGGGAATTTTCCTTCTAATGCACAGGAACTGCTGACTTGGACATATCCTGCCTTAAGGATGTTCTCTGGAAGAAGAAGAAGGAGCCTCTACCAAAGCTCCTCCACACATCCAGGGGTCTGGCAGTGCCTTACAGCAGGTTTCTTACCAAATACCTTTACTCTGCACATAGCTCACGCCATGCAGGGGCAGGTTATCCTGTTTTTCAAGAGTACTGTTATACGAGAGAGTTTTGGTATTTGCTTTTAATTAAGATTAAATAGTGGGTCATATCTGGATCCAGAACATGCTCTGTTCTCAAGATATAAAAACATCTATTGGAGAAATAAAATTACCTCCTGGATTTCCAGGAAAGCCTACAGATGATTGTCCCTGGTCTTCTGGATGAAGACAGAGTTGCAGAGCAGCCCACACCGGCCAGCTGGGCCTGCACCTTCCCTGCCTGCAGCTGCGGGCAGCCCAGGTCTCCAGCCCTGCCCCAGAAGAAGCGAGTACATTGGTCTGTTCAACCAAGGAACAAGGGACAGGACAAGAGGAAATGGCCTCAAGCTGCGCCAAGGGCAATTGAGATTGAATGTGAGGAAGAATTTCTTTGCTGAAAGGGTTCTGAGGCATTGGAAGGGGTTGCCCAGGGCAGTGGTGGAGTCCCCATCCCTGGAGGGATTGAAGAGGCGTGTAGACACAGTGCTGAGGGACATGGGTTAGTCAGGGACTTGTCAGTGATGGGTTCATGACGGGACTCAATGAGCTTAAAGGGCTTTTCCAATTGAGGCCATGCTGTGATCGCTCCAGATCTCAGGGCCATCCCGCTCCTCACCATGCTCCACACAGCACCGGTCCATCAGATGCGCGACACTGACTGCAAGGCTTGGGGAAGACTCACTTGGAGAGAGCTGCTGAAGTTTGCTGAATTGACTGTAGCATGAAAAATCAGAGACAAAAGGAAAATACTCCTAAATGAGAGTTGAGGAAAACAGTCGCTGCAGGATCCTCCTGCATGCTCCGGGGTCAAGCTCCTCCCAGGTTTTCCCAGGTCTGAAGCAGCAATTAGCTGCAGAGCCTTTCTTCAGCAGCAGCACTTTGAGAGACAAACCAGTAGAGGGAATGCCAGACGCTGCTGAGGATAACTTCACATCAATATAGAAAGAATAGCCACGGCAGCCACTATTGGTTAGAGATATTAATCTACTTTTTTTCCAGATTGAAAAATGGAAATCAAGCAGAGCTGCCTCGAGCCAATTTGCAGTGCTCTCTGTGAAAATAACCTGCACCACTCGATGGTTTTAAGAAGTCTCACATAAAATGTAAATGGGTACAAAATGAATATTCCAGATACAAAATAAATACTTGTGGTTGTAGGCTGTGCTGCAGCGTCTGCGTTTTACTCCTGCCTTCCATCAAAGACCCATCCTCCATCAGATGGAAACCTTTCTGGGCATCCTCTGAAATCCTGATTCCTTCTACAGACTGAAAATAAAATCATGCTACTCACCAAGAGATAAATGACCTGAAAGAAAGGACAAGTGATTTGGATTGATTGTGCTGCCACACATCCTTTTTGTACAAAGGGCTTTACAGGTATTAATTAAACCTCCCTGCTGGGCAGCAGGTATGGGCTGTCGTGCAAAGATCACTTCATCTAAACACAGCCACGTCCCAGGGAAAAAACTTCACAACAGTGCAGGCTGTAAGCTGAGAGGATCATTGCAGCAAAGAGAAGCTAGAGGGAATATAATTATTTAAACTGGAATTTGGTCTGGATGCCACAAGGAAACACCACTGGAGCTGCACTCGGGGTACGCGGGCTGCAGGCTGGCATGGCCACCTCACTGCCCTCCTCACCCAGCTCTACAACACCAGGACCATTAAAAGCTAAACAGCACTATCTTCCACCTCAACTTTGCCATGAATCCTTTACAGAGTACTGAATTCTTCTGATATTGTAAATACCCCCCAAACTCAACACAAAGACCGATGAAAGACCAACACAGATTCCTCCTCTTCCTTCCTACTGTAGCACTTCACAGTTTAGTAACACTCCCAATTTAAAAAAATAAATTACAGATTTTTTCCAAGCTTGTTCACTGACACAAATATTATCTCCATTGCTCTGTAAATCTTATAATGCAATCAGGGTTTTGTGGTTGGGTTGGTTTTTGTTTTGGTTTTTTTTTCTAAGATCTGTGCACCTAAATCAAAATACAATTGTGATGCAGCCCACACCAAGCAGGAAGAACACAAGCTGGAAAATTCAATTAAAATGCTAAATTAATTCAATTGAATAAATCCTGTTAATGACACATTTTTCTATCAGCAAATTAAAGGAAACTTGGAACTTTTTAAAAAAATGATGGATGACGAATAATCCAGAAAGACACAGCAAGGGCACACAAGATGCATGGCTCTAGCAACAGTGCAAGTGAGATGGAGAACACATTTCAAGAAGGAAACTATCAGTGATCTCCACGCATGATTAAGCAAAGAAAAGTTAGCCCCTCGTTACCTGCAACAAGCTCAAGTTTTTCTCCAGGATCTCCCTCCGAGTAGAGTTTTGGGTGGCAACGGTATCCGATTTGACTGATAAGACTGGCTGGGAGAGCAACTAGATCCCGTCGTATGAGGACACAGGAGCGGTTCTCCAGTGGGATCTGCTCTGGCTTCTCTTGAGCAACTTAAAAATTAAAAGGGAAACTCATTAAGACAGTTTATTATGCAGATTAACAGGAGGTCAGATTTTGACTTTTTCAGGTAGCTCTTGGAAATATTCCTCCCTCCAGAAATCCAACCATTCGCCAGGACTATTGGCCATAGGGCAGATGTCACCCAACAGCACGGAAAGATCCCCTGGTCTCCCCAACATTTACTGCAGCAGTCTCGTATGCGCATTCAGGTTCTGTGAGAGGGATTCTTGGAATCTCATTATGCTTTAACTTTTCCAAAGTTAATCATTTATGAAAATAGGCAACTCTGCTCAACAGCCGGCATCGTTCTGGACGTGCAGCATACTGAGTTGGCTTCCTCCAAACCCAGAAGAATGGCAAGTTACTTCACCAGGAGTTTCTAAAACAGGCAATAACTTGCCTGAGTTTGATAAATACCTGCATCAGTACCATAACTGCTTGTCCTGATGGTTTTTTTCCTGTCTGAAATTCAAAGTCAGAATCTGCAGATACCCCCTGCACTCAGAAAGGTCACCATAGGCTCCCCAAGGGCAGCACCCACCAGCCACCTCCTGCAAGCTCCACCTCACCTCCCAAAGCACCTTCTCCTACTCTGCCTCTTGCAGGCTAACCTTTCCTCTCAATAGCAAGAGAGACCCCAACCAACAAGCCAAGAAATATTATTAAGCCCCAAAGCACTGTCCCTGGAGCCCACCACTGCCCATTAGCAACCGTTGACGTTGAAAAGCTGGAAGCACCGAGCTGTACTACCAGCACCACACAAGTCTGGGTCTTGGGGGCATACAGAGGATTTGCTTTCTAAAGCACATGCACAGTGCAAGCTCACAGGCTTGCTTGAAATTATGATTTTTGACAGCAAAAGAGGGCTGACCTGGGTGTTCATCAACTCCAGCTGCACTGGGATGCAGTGGGAGCATTTAAAAATTCTGACTTTCAGCCCAGCTCTACAACGATCCATCTCTTTCCCCAAAAAATGTCTGATAACGTGGCAAGTGCCACGCACAACCCAAACCCAGCTCTGTGCTTCGATATCTGTGAACACAGAGGGAAGGCAAAAACCCCAGCAATTAGCGACTGTGAACTCAAAATGTCTCCTACTTGAGAGGTGCCTTTTCCTGGGATTATTTTGGTGTTCTGGGGGCCGCTTTTCCTCTCTCTAGATAAAATAACAAGTTTTGCAGACTTGTTGCTGCAGTAACCAAAGGGCGATGGCTCCCGTACAATGGCAGCAGTGTTCTAACTAGGACATGCCCCGCGACGCCGTGCTGTGCCATGGCATCCTATCGCAGGCACGGGGCCGGGAGCATCCCCACCCTCACTGCTCCCTCCTTCCCTAAAAACTCAGGATACCAGGAGGATGTCCCTTGCTCGTGGAGCTGCATCACAGCAGAGCAGTGTTTCCTTCAGCAATTAAGGACCAAACAGCAGCAGAACAACTTCCATGATGTTTTAAACTAACTTCTCTCACCATCACGGCCCGATTATCTCTGCAAAGTGGCAGGGCTCTGCGGTGCTGATGTGCAGTCTCTTTGACACAGAGAATTTTCACCATCTGAAGTATTTCCCTGTTTAACAGCACTCCCAGCCATCCAGGAACCCTCTCCTTGGAGAAGGGAATTATCTTCTGCCCACACAGAGGAAGCATCTCAAAGACCTGCTATATTTCTGGTGCTTTCAAACAGTGACAAGCAGAGTATATCTATGAGGGGAGACCTTCTCACTCGCTACAACTACTTGAAAGGAGGGTGGAGAGAGGTGGGTGTTTGTCTCTTCTCCCAAGTAACAAGTGACAGGACAAGAGGAAATGGCCTCAAGTTGCACCAGGGGACGTTCAGATTGGATATCAGGAAAAATGTCTTCACTGGGAGGGTTCTCAGGCACTGGAACGAGCTACCTAGGGAAGGGGTTGAGTCCCCATCCCTGGAGGATTTAAAAGATGGGTAGATGAGGTGCTCAGAGATCTTGTTTAGTAGTGGATGGACAGGTACGGTTGGACTTGATGATCTCAGAGGTCTTTTCCAACCAAACGACTCTATGATTCTATAAACACTCCTGTTTTTTTCCAGCTTGAACAAATCAGAAGCAGATGGGCACCAGGTATGGGGGAACCAACACCCTGGGAGCACCTGCTCTGCTGTTCTTCACTGGCTTTTTGGCTCTGGTAAGACATGCTCAGCAAGGCAGGCGACAGCACAAAGGCCACTGCAAAATCAATGCAAATCTCCAGGGAAGAGGAAGCAGCAGGTAGGGACCGTCAGCTCCTGCCCAGAGTCCTCTGCACGTTACAGACAGGCTGAACTAAAAGGTAGGATTCTATGTAGGTCACATATGAGCTATGGGTCTGCTGATAAACACCACAAACCAGACAGGGACATTCTGTCCTGTCGTGTCCTGTCCTACCCGATCCTCTTCAATAGCCACATCAGAAGACGGGTACATGATGCTATCGGGGTAAACCAGAATTTGGCAAGAGCTTTTTGTGCTAAATACATATTCCTGAGCCATCAAGCGACAGAAGAGGTGAGGTCCAGGCTGTGCTTGTGCACAGAGCTCCTGCTAATTGCAGGCAGCTCGTCAGGGCGAGCGCTCCTCAGCCACCGCTTCAGCTGCCGGGCAGAAGCAGAAAAACCACTGCAGCCCCTCACCAGCGCAACGCTCCACCCAGGCTGTGGAAACCAGCATTTCAAATGTTTAATTTCTACTTTTAACTCATGACTTAGGTCAAAAAGGCCAGGTTGGATGAGGCTCTGAGCAACCTGGTCTAGTGGAAGGTGTCCCTGTTGATGGCAGGGGGGTGGAACTGGATGAGCTTTAAGGTCCCTTCCAACCCAAACCAGTCTGTGATTCTAAAAGCACCCACAATATTCATCATTACCTAAAAAGCTGCTGAAGGGAAGCTGGGCAGACTGGTATGGATTCTCAGAAAGTTTCTTAGAAGCCTCCAGCTATTTTTTAAGTGGTATAAAGGCTGTGGGTCTCCAGGGAAAGCAGCTGCAATCGATATCCGAAATGAGACAGAGTTCAGAGTGGGAGAAGCAGGAGAAGGTCCTTGCAGCTTGTGGCCCAGTACTGCTGTAATGGGAACAGAGGAGAACTGGGGCTCGCACGGCCACCAGTCATGCCCTCCTCCTGCCACCTCCTCCTCAAGCTGCCATCACTGGAGAAATTAAACTCCTACATCCAAGTGGCAAACAGCCACAGCGGACAAGGACAAACCCACCTGCTCTACCTCTATCCATAGGCAAACATTCAATAAAAACCCAATTTTGGGGCCAAAGAGGTCCTAAGGTGGCAATAACGAGGCAGGCAAGAGAACGATCGGCACAAGCACTGCGTTCACACTACCTTCCTGGAGAAACTGGGAAGGATTTGATGTCAAACCTGTTCCCTGAAAGAAAAAGCAGCTTTTCAGGAAGACAATGGTGCTGCGCTGGTTGGTGACGATCCTGCCTTGAAGAAATTCCTTGCTTTTGAAGACATGTCACTTCACAGACATGGAGCCATCGAGACGTTTACATTTCTGCCTGCGAAATCAAATACTTCACAAAACAAACTAAAATTTGGGCTAAAAAGAGCAAGTGTAAGTCAATCCACTATTCTATTTTGGTTACATCTGTCCTGCTGGCTCGCTCTCTATAAATCTCTTATTAAACACGGGCATGAATCATTTTTTGGACTTTGATTCCAGTAAAGCATTAGCACAAATTCAACGATACTAAACAAAAACGTCTGAAGATTTCGGCCTTTCAGTGCCACCTCAATTCAGCAGATAGCAATCGGTTATGTAAAGAAGCAGGATACAAGAGCCACTTTGGTCCCATGTTTTCAAAGAAAGCCAGTCTGTTTGGCCTTTATGCTCTGCGGAACAGGATAGTATTCGCTTCTAATTAATTTGTATCTTCAGAGGGCAGCAGCTCCTTCCCTTTGAATGAAAGGGCAAACAATGTGAAGTATTGTTTAATACAGTTTTGTTCTCGACCAAGAAAGGAGCCTACCAGCTAGCAGAGAGAGGCAGGAAATCATTACAGAGGAAGCAATGAGAGCTGCCAACCAAACATCGGTATATTTTATTTATTCAGATATACGTTTTCATCTCAAACTTAGACCGATGCTGCAGCTGGCAACAAGTGGAGCCCACAATGGTTTTGGTGATGCCAGGATGGTTGTAAATCCTGACCAAGGCGCCTGGGAGCAGAGATGCTGAGCCCACACAGCTCCCGTTGGCCCTCATGGGTGATGGGCAACAAGCTGCCCAGGGTCTGGCAGTGCTGGGAATTGCTGGCCACACACCTGGGGCCAGTATTCCCTTATTTCCTTAGCTCCTGACAATCCAAACACCAAGGCTTCAAAATTATTCACAAACCCTCAATTCCCACCAGTCTGGGGGTCAAGTTCTCCTCTCGACCACTTAATGGATACCGACTTCAACGTACTTCTGTGGGTAAGAAACAACTCTTTGTTTTAGGAGTGGGATTTTAAGATACAGAAATATCTGAGTGACAGACCCTCACCTGAATATTAGCATTTACAAAACTCCAACATGGAACCACAAGTCACGAGCCCTGGTCCACCACGACAGCTACAAAACCATCCCCACCACCACTCACCACATACACAAACACGTGGATAATTCTCTCCTGTTATATCCCAGCAAGAAGTTTCTTTTCAAACAAGCAACATTTTACAAATGTTTTTATCCCATTAGCCTTTTTTCCACTGGCAGTGGGACTACCCCAAAAATAACATCCCCACCACAGCCCCGGCATCGCCAGCGTCTGCCTCTGTGTGGAAACCTGCACCTTGGAGGACACACGCACGCACCGCCAGACAGAGAGATGATATAGTCCCAACTGGGATAGTTTATGTTTTACAAAAAGTACATTTATAACAACGTACTGGAATGCAGAGATTTGATTTGTGACCTATTTATAGAGGGAGGTAATCTGGAATTAGCATAGGAAAAATATTACTGGTTTATAAATACCCCTATATCTTGCCTTCGCTTCAGATCTCAGCCAGGAGTGAAACATCTGCCAGCCTAAAATTAAACATCTGTGTTTTACGGTGAGGAAACCGGGACTGGTGGAAGTTTAACACCAAAAAAGGCCAGAGGCTGCATGTCCCCGGCGCGGGGCTCTGCCTTCCTCCGGCTGCTCAGCACCACTGGTCCCCGCACTGGGATGGGCGATGCCGGCGCTGACCGGCTCCCATCGGCACACAGAGATGTTTGCAACCTGCAACAAAAACCCAAAGGGAAAATGCTCTGGTGAATAAACAGAGCATCCTCTCTTGACCACTTTATTGCCTAAAAAAACCCCACTTGCTCTTTGCTGGCGAGCAGCCCCCGCGTGCAGCACAGCGTCAGATCAGCCACAGCACAGCACCACTCCTTGCAGGATCCCATCACCATTCCCACTCCTTTATTACGGCTGCAATTATCGGGCGCCGTGAGCTGTGATTTTTATCATTGCCAGCATCATTCCCAGCCTGGGTTTGGGATGACGCTGCCCGGGCTGCGCTGGAGCTGCTCATTGTGGATTCTGGGTTGTTCCTTGCCCTCTTTCCTTCCTGTCAGGAATCAGAGACCAGGAGAGAAAAAACTATTCTCTCAGCTAATTACCACAACTGTTCTATAATGGCTATTTTAGATGAATTTTTAATGAAGTGTGCTCTTGTCAGTTCAGGATTTCATAACTTTCAGGTCCAGACTTTACATTCCAGCCATTTGCTGCATAAAGGTTTTTCTTCTCCCCTGCAAAGCAGCGCAGCAGGAGCAGGGGAGGAGGACGGACCCTCGCGCAACTTTGCTTGTGCCTGTCAAAATTAAATTAACTGCATCTGCTAAGCAGGCAGCTGACTGACAAGAACGCGGTTCAGTGCAGAAAAACGCCGAGCATCTGCAAGT